GGAAATTCTTTTTAACCCTTTTAGTTAAGTTCGCACGTAGTTTGTTCTTGTAAAATCGTTTATATTTGTTTGTGATAAATATGCAAGCGAATGGTAAATGTGAGAGAGAGATTTTTGTAGTGATTCGGCCAAAACCAAGCCAATTCCACTCTTCTCCAACTCCTAAGGAGGTTTGCACTAATCCTATGGTACAAAAGACCACTCAATTCTTGAACACTAATTTAAGCTAGACTTGAGCTATAACACCCCGTGTTATGCCCTTTAATCCCAGATTAATTATTTAATTAATTCCGTTAAAAAAATAGTTAAAAAGGATTTAATCTGGCCAGGATCCATTAATTAATTAATGTGGTCCACGAAGGACCGTGGACCCTTGTTTATAATAAGGACTTTAAGTCTATTAGGAATAAAGAAAGTGGGCCTTTACTACTTAGATTCTAATTAAGAATCCTAGACCTATATACCTGTTAGGAATAGAAAGTATGTCTTTACTATTCAAACTCTTATTAGGATTCCTAACTCTATAAATAGGGGATTAGAAAGCAATTAGAACCCTTACCACCCATAGTTATATTACACGAAATTATTCCCAAGAGATTCACCACCACCAAGCCTAAGGAGATCAATCGGATGGAAATCTTAGTGAAGAACTTTAATAGCCAAGGGAGGATTAATTAAGGCTAAGAGATAACCCATGTCTTACAAAAACTATTGGCTCCTTTGATAATTGTATGTGTGATTCTGTGATTGAGTCTTGATAGAGCTTTGCCTAGGATTTATATTGTGTTTATTTGATAATCTTGATGTTGTGATTGATTATATGTGTGATCTTATATTTTAATTATGTCTAGAACTTGTCCCTAGGGTTTGTATCGCGAATCTCATTGTTGTGATGTTCTTGGTATATTTGGGTGGGTTTATACATGATCGGGTGTTGAGTCTAGTCTAGGACTTGTCCTTAGGACTTTGCATATAGATTTCTTGATGTTCTTGAGGTTTCGGATGCTCCTGAACCGTTACGTGATTTGTGTCGGGTCTTGGTATGTTTAGGAATCATGTTAGAACGTATTTGGAATGATTCTTGAGTTAATTTCTGTTAATTGAATCCGTGGTATTGTTGTTGCGTGTTGGAATGTGTCTGGACATGGTTTTGGGTTCCACGAGAGATCCCGGGACCGAAAAGTTGCCTGTGTATTAGTGGGGGTAGGTGGGGGGACGAACACCCGCCACCTACCCGCTGCCCGTTGCTCTCTTTCCAGCGGGCAGCCGGCGGGTGGTCCTCCACCCGCCGCCCACCCGCTGGGAATCAATGGTGGATCGTGATGTTTTTCTCCGTTTGATGTTTTCCCGTGTCCTGTTGTACTCCGTTTGTCGTGTATGAGTTTCATTTGATGTTTTGAATACCGTTCTAGGAATTTATGTGTAGTGCGTGTCGATGTTATCATATCTTGATTGTTATTGATTGATTATGTGTTGATTGATTGAATGATGATGAGTATCGTAGTCGTTGCGCAATGATTGGTGTGACTGGTGGCGATGAGATTGTGATTGGTGGAAATGAATTGTTGGCGGAAAGCACTACGAGTGCTCGGTTATCGTGCTAAAGGCACGAACCACCCCTTAGACTAGCTGGCTAAATGCCTGGGTCAGGGTATAAGCATCGCGGTGTCATGTTAGAGCTATATGTGCTAACCCCTTCGTATTGGTACTAGAAGTACGGACCATGCAAATGACATTTTGGTGCTACCATGTTGGTGGACTTGTTGGTGGTTGCGGAGTGGGGCATATAGTTGCTCCAGGGGATAAGGAGGAGGTATAAGGGTGGCCTGGAGGTACAGGTTGGAACTGAAATAAGGATGAAGTGGAGTGAAAAGGTTGGAACTTGGTATAAGGTTGGAAGATGGATTGTGTGACTTGATGATTAATTGCTAATTAACTGTCTGGAATCCCTTTGTTTTCTCTATTTGCTATTTATAAGCTTATCTATCTATTATGTTTTGCATCGTGTTCTTATGACGCATGCTAGTCTTTATTATTGTTCTATAGTGTCAAGTATGTTGTTGTGTCTCGAGTCTTGATCTTGGTTTAAAGCTAGAGTTGCTTAGGTTATATATGTATTCCAGTTTCAAAATGATTTTCTTATATCTACCTATATTGTACTTAATGCGTGGGAGTGGGTTACCAGCATTATTCGCTGACAGTTGTTACACCGCATGTTTTTCAGGTACTGACTAGTAGCTTCGAAGTGCTCTAGACAGACACGCAGATTTAGCATTAGTTAGTTCTAGTCATAATTGCTATGGCCTGTGTGCCTGGAATTGTATTTGAATATTAATTGTGGATTATGCTTAGATTAGTTAGTTGTAGCCTGTGCATCTAGGTTCTCAAACCTAGGTGTGGCATAGCACCCCAACTCTTATGATTAGTTTATGCTTTGTTTGGATGATTAATAATAGATTTACCTTGATTTATATAAGATTTTAAATGTTTTAAAAATTTGGGGTGTTACGTGAGCGTCTAGGTTTTTCAACTCGAAGAGTTTACTCCGCCTCTTTCTACTTCTATTGAGTAGAGTTACAAAGGTTAAGGTTAAAATTCTTCTTTCTCCAACTAAGAAAACATGGCTTTTAGTGACTTGATCTTCATGAATGAATACCATAAGCTTCTTGAATTTCTGGATAGTACATTTTAGCTTTGATCTCTTCTCTCACTGGTCACTAGATGAGAAACCCTTTTTGAATGCTTGAATACTTAGAAAATTTTCAAATTGATCAGCACATTCTATATCCTTGAGTTAAGGTATTTATAGGCGTATTGAAAAGGATCTTTTGGAGGGAAAACCAATTTCAAATGTCTATTGCCTAGTGAGTAAAGACCAACGGTTTTTTCGAAAAGTAGCTTTATGCGTCAGAGTTTCCAGTCGTTAGACCACTTAATTTGTGTTGAAGTTTTTTACTTTTAGTTATGCACAAAAGCGTCTAGTCATTTTTAGAAACTATTCCTTGAGATGTGAACCTAGGACTCTATTTGCCTTGGTCATATTTTACCATAAAACACTTACAGCATGTTTGGTTCACGGAATGAATTTTGAGGTAATAGGAATGCTATTCCATAAGGAATGGGATAGGTAAGGAATAGAATAGGAATTGTATTCTATTGTTTGGTTCGCGGAAGGAATAGACTTTAGGAATTATATTACAGTGTTTGGTTGATTTAAGGAATAGAAATGAAATATGTTTTAAAAGACATAAATACCCTTATAAAAAGATGTGATGGTGGCGATGGTTGCGGTGGTGGTGGTAGTGGTGGCGATGGTGGTGGTGGCGGTGTTGGGGTGGTAGTGATGGTGCTGGCGGTGGTAGTGGTGGGGGCGACGGTGGTGGTGGTGACGGTGACGGTTGTTGCAGTGGTGGTGGGTGCGGCGGCGGCGGTGGTGGTGGTGGCGGTGGTGCTGCTGGGTGGTGGTTCTGGTGGCGGTGGTGGTGGTGGCGGCGGCGGCGGCGATGGTGGTGGCAGTGGTGGTGATGGTGGTGGTGGCGGTGGTGGTGCTGGGGTGGTAGTGGTGGTAGTGGTGGTGGCGGTGGCAGTGGTGGGGGCAGCGGTGGTGGGGCGGCGACGGTTGTGGCGATGGTGGTGGTTGTGGCGGCGGCGATGGTGATGGTGGTGGTGGTGGCGGCGGCGGCGGTGATGGTGGTGGTGGCGACGACGGTGGTGAAATAGGATAAATTTATATATAGGATAAAAAAACTAGGTTAAAGAAATGGGTAAAAAAGAAAATAGATTCTAAAATCTATTCATGAGGGTTCAGTAATAGGCTAATACCAGAGGGGGCCCTAGTAATAGCTATTACCTTATTTGAGGTAATAGGCTATTACCAGGAATATTATTCCTGGTAATATAAATGGTTACCAAATAAAGGAATAGGCATATTACTGGGAATGTTATGACATTCCCGGCCTATTCCGTGAACCAAACGGGCCATTAGTGTTTTAAGGTTTCGAACTGTTGGCTAAAATAATGTATCAAGCAGTTGTTATGGTTAACTGGCACTGTTCGAGTTAAAGTTTCAAACCTTAACACTAGCTACTTCTCGGTTACAAATGGTTGACATTATCATTTGTTCAACTTTACTTCGAAAGGTAGGCCCTTCCACCATTCGGTCTTTGCAATCTTTTGATTTTGTAATCTTCGAATCCTTCGACTCTTCTGATCCTCTATCCTCGATGCTTCTTCCTAGTCACCCGAGACGTAACCATTCAGGTTACTGTTATGGGTGAATCAAGGCCCCTTTACTAATTGGTTAGCTTTATGGAGACTAAAAATTCCACCAAAGTGGAAAATGTTCCTCTGGAGAGCTATTTGTGATATTTTGCCTACAACTACGAACTTGCTTTTAAAGAGGGTGGAGGTGAACCCATATTGTGCTATGTGTGGGATATCACATGAGAATACAATGCATGCATTAGTCTTGTGTGATTTTGCAAGAAACATTTGGGATCAATCCAACCTTACAATCCCCAATATTGTCACGGATATTTTTCATGTTTGGTTTGGGGAACTTCTAAATATTTTAGATCCTGATGGAATGTTATATGCAGCATCAATTCTATACAATATTTGGAAAGCTCGAAATGGTGCAGTTTGGGAGGCATTTTTACCACGCCCGGGGTCCCTACTCAGAGCCGCAGCGGCAGCCAAGACCGCATGGACTCAGTCCCGCCCAGCCGTGGCTGCCACTGCCACTGCTACGCTGCCGACAGAAAACCGCCACGCTGCCCAGGCGAGTCCCACCGTCGGCCGCGGTGCTGCCGACGCCGCCGGATCCTCTGTGCCGCCAGTGAGAAGATGCAGGGTCGATGCGGGATATCTACACGAGACAGGGAATGCAACTGTAGGGGCCGTTTTATTAGATGGAGATGGAGCCTATATCTCGGCACTAACCGCGCCGCTACCGGCCTGTACGTCACCACTTATGGCTGAGGCTTTGGCGTGTAAGGAAGTTTTATCATGGCTAAAGGATCGAGGTGAACAGAATATTGAGATCTACACGGATTGTTTGACACTACAACGCTACCTTACATCATCAACCACTGCGTTTCGCTCTTACGTTGGCTATGCCATTGATAGCTGCAGGCAAATTGCCGTTTATTTTCACTCATGTTCTTTTAATTATATTTCTAGATCGGACAATTATTTAGCTCATGCTTTAGCCACTACGGCTTATCAGCAACCTGATACTATGTACTGGGATACTCACCCACCAGACATTATTTCAGCATTTTTCTAATGAAGCACCGCAGAAAATTTTCAAAAAAAAAAACTATCCAAAATGTAACCATTCAAATTAGTTATACGGATTCGAAACGAAGAGTAGGAATCCTAAGTCTAGGAAATAAACTAAGTTGGAGACTAAAATTTCTATTCATTTGATATCATCAAAATCTAATTACAAATGTTCCTAACAATTTTTCCCTTTTTGATGATGGCAAAACCTATACCCAAATTATAAGACTGTTTTTAAACTTGAATTGATTTTCCATTACAATTCAGCCCATAATTGAGTTTGACAAATATTGTTCTAGGAAATTAAGTACTAGAAATTTAACTACGCAACACACACACACTGAAAATATTTCATTAATCACTCAAAAGTATTACATATTACATTTGTGTTGCAAAAAGTGTTAAATAAATAAATATTACAAAATATCAAGTATTTCGCAGGTTCAATCCTTTCTTGTCTTGATACTTCTTGGCTTTCTCAGCGGCTTTGTCCAAGATGCTATTGATTTGCCTTTGAACGGTCACATTGTTGCCTTGTACTACTAAATGATCATAAAGATTATATTAGAAATCCTTAAGCTGTGATACTTGTTGAAGGCTTCAAGGATGTTCTCCCCTTCAATTACACCACATCATCACTATCTAATCATCTCTTTAGTGTTCATTATTCCATTTGCAAAAAATACTGAATTATGTCTCATTATCTCGAACATTGTGCCGATAAGAGATGCATCTGTTGTATTCCGTGTGACCCTTCAGAACGAGTCAAAGCGTTTCGTCATTCTCCTCTCGGCTTCTTCAGCATCTACCTTTCGTCCTTTCGTCTCTTCTTTTCTCTTTCATTTTCTTCATCCAATCAGCATTGACGCTCAATAGAATGATTACGGGAGGCTATATAGCCAATCTTCCTCTGTGTGCTCCGTCTCCTTCTCCAGATTGACAAATTTTCTCCTCCAAATTAGTCACGCAATGTGCGTGTAAAACTAGTGACTTATTATAATTGTAGTAGTAGTTGTCTAATAATAATAATAATAATAATAATAATATTTAGGGTTGGGGTTCAGCCTTTTGAAATAATAATAATAATAATAATAATAATAATAATAATTATTATTATTATTATTATTAGTAATTCACCCGCGCGATGCACGTGGAAAAAATTATGCTATTATAAATATAAATAAAAAAATAGAAAAAATAAAAATATTTTAAATTGTTTAATATAATAATATTTTTGAGCTTCCATTGGTCAAGTATTTATTATTTTAATAGAATACAAAATTATAATTAAAATTTTGTATGGTTAATATAATCTCTTTTTTGAAAGCCAACCAAATCAGATCATATTAGCCATACTAGGCAACAGAAAGGGAGGAGGATCATCCCTCCAAACAGAACGCGCCAAAGTTGCGCTTACATGCTTAGCTAGAGCATGAGCTGCCCGATTTGCATCCCTGCTAACATGTTTCACCACAGGGTTCGTCATGAAAGTAAGTACAAGACCACAGGGTTAATATAATCTCTAATTATGTACATATTCAAATAAGCTTATAGAGAGAATTCACATAATTACATTGATTTATTCTTAATTGTATTTCATCTATATTATAATTTTCACAATACGAATAATAACTAAGATAATTACATTTAGAAAGCAAATTTCAAATTTTGTATGAGTAAATTTAAATTCTAATTGAACACATTTTTTTATATGATTATATAATATATTCTTTATGCACATGACATTCCATAAACTCAAATGTCATTTTATAAGTCCAAGACCACTTTTTGTGGAGATAGTTCAAATGTATTTTTTTTCTTTTAAAAGTCCTAAGTTTAGACATCCAGAAAAACATTAAAGACCCATACGATATATACATTTATATATATTTAAATTTTTATTTATGGCTTAAATGATTTTTTTTTTTTTTTAATTATGAAGTACAATAATTGATCCACGGCCCGCAACACTTGCTTTCTTCATCCCTTCTCGCTTCTGCCATTTCTTTGAAGCATTTGAGATGGAGAAAAATTATATGTAGAGGCTTGCATTAATTGCATTGTTTCAGATATTGAATAGGCTTTCATCGAAAATTTAATTAATATTGTAATCCCAAGAACCACCATAAATAACAAAAGCATATCAAATAGACTTTCATTGTAAAGCCAGAGATTTAACTAATATTTCATCGTTTCATATTTTCTATTAATCGGGAATCGGAATCCTTAATTCTAATATCATAACATTTAATAACTCCATTAATTCAATAAATGTAATCCTTTGTTATGGGCAAGAAAAAAAATAGCTATTTTATTTTTCAAATGTTGTGTTTTTTTTTTTTATTTATTTATAGTAAAAGATGTTGTGGCTATTTTATATTTATAGCTAGTAATAATAATAATGTTGGTACTTAATTGTAACATTAATTATTTCCCAACCATATAGCTTTATTATATGTAAGATTATTATTATTATTATTATTATTATTATTATTATTATTATTATTAGAGTTAATTCCAGCAATGGTCCTCCGACTATTGTGATTTTCCAAAATTAGTCCTTGTCTTTTAATTTGGACAAAATAGACCCTTGACTATCAGATTTGTTCCAGCATTGGTAAAAAAAAAAAAAAAAAAAAAAAAAAAACAAGATTTAGACAATAAAATCCATACTAGTAAAGAAAATTAGAAAAAGGATAATTAGTAATCGATGTTTGCTATTTTTCTACCACAAAAACCCACATATATAAACAGAAACACCCAAAAGAAAAAAATAGGAATCGATCTTTACTAACATTTGAAGACTTTAAGCTGTGTTTGGGCAATCGGAGGCCGGAGGAGGAGGGGGTGGGGGTGGGGGTGGTGGGCATGTTGATTTGGGAGTCGGAGCTCCGGGCGGACGCGGGAGAGAGCGGAAGGGCGTCGGAAACTGCCGCGGCCGAGGGAGACGTCGCCGGACCTTCCTCTAGCATTTTGGGAACGTAGAGACAGATATTCATTCCCAAAGCCAGCTTCGCTTTCCTCCATTTGCTCCCCATTTTCTCCCGCAAACGTAACCTTCAGCTCCACATACACACGCCCACGAAGAAGAATAAGGCTTAGGGATGCTGGTTCGGAAAAGGAAGGAAGAAGAAAGCAATATTTAAGGAAAAGACTATTTTAGCCCCTACACTAACGCCTAACTAACTGATCCCTAACGGAAGGACCAATGGCGGAATAAATTTAATAGTCAAGGGTCTATTTTGTCCAAATTAAAAGACGAGGACTAATTTTGAAAAATCACAATAGTTGAAGGACCATTGCTGGAATTAACTCTTATTATTATTATTATACATTCATTAAGTAGTTACTAATCAATTGATTCAATTCCATCTCGAATAGGAAGTAGAATACTCTAACCCCATTAATGCTAAGAAACCACACAATATGCCTCAAACAGCGTAAAACAAAATTTAGTATGTTGGGACTTTTTTTGATATATCATTATTATATTAAATTATTTTTGTATTTAATTAGTATGTGAATTTGTTATTAAGTTATGATCAATTACAATAATTAATAATTTAAAGAGTAACATTAGAGATTGATATTAATAGAAAAATAAAGTTAAAAAAAAAAAAAAAAAAACAAAACAATAGAAGACATTTTTCTATAAGAATACATAGGAACCGTTTCAAACCATCTAACTAAGAATTTCAATCCATCCCACTCCTAATTAATTGTACTGTCGAGGGATGGAAAAAACAAGTGCTCTGACAGGTTACGGTTTTTCAAACCAATTGTCAATTTGCACGTAATTGCTTTGTAAAAATATTGTTCTCTTTTTCCCCGAAAAGATTCCAATCCCAATAACCCTCACATCCCGATATGTCAAAGCGTTTGAGAGAATGTAAATCGCGGTGATTCAATAGCTCAATTGACAGGGCCAAATGCTGGTGCACACAAAAGAATGAATGAACTATATATCCAGAATGAATGAACTATATAATTCAAATTATGCACAACATAACGTCGTTAACAGTAATCGAAACTGATTTTTTTTTTTTTTTTTTAAGTCGGACGTCAAAACGACGTCAGTTTTGCAACCGTGTGCACCATGCATGGTGCACACGGTTGCACAGCATAACGCTTCGCATTTTGGAGGATGTAGCATTCCTTATAATAGACATATAACATTGTTTGTTTTGACTTTTTATTATCAAGAATAATATTCATTGAAATAAATTATTCATTTTGTAGGGGAATAGTCATAACTAGGGGCCCATAATATTAGCTATTATAGTATTCTTAGGAATATTTTTGTATTGTAATACAAAAATAATTTTGTATGCACATTATTATTATTATTATTATTATTATTATTATTATTATTATTATTATTATTATTATTATTATTATTATTTAGCATTCATTATAAATGTGTTTTTGTTTTTGAGTATTTATTCCATATATATTGCATAAACAAATCAAACATTGAAATACAATTCTAAAATATAATTCTTCAACAAACCAAACAATGTAATAAAATTCTTATTTATATTTCTTTTCTATTTAATTCTCTGTAGAACATTAATCATATTCTCTCAAACTTCATTCTGTAAACTAAGCTGAACACGAGCCCCCTCAGTTTGAGAGGTTATTCGCACACTGTCGCCGTAAAACTCGATCCTAGATTATTGTTCTCAAATTTTACCACAATGACCAACTGAGTTGCGCCCATGCTGGCAA